GGCAGCACCATCACCCCACGTGAGGGACACCTGCCGCGGGGCTCTGGGGCGTCAGAGGGCTGCAAGCCCCGTCAGCCAGCCGGGGCTGTCCTCTCTGTCACCCTGTCGTCCCGCTTAGCTGTGGTCCCTTGCCAGAACCAGAAACCAGTGCAAACACCCCAACCTAGGGACTGTCAGTTTTGTCTTTCCCACTAACGAAAACGTTGTTGTGGCTCCTCTGGGTATCTGAGCAACCCGAGTTTTATGTCAAGAACATATCGATGACCCTTTTCTGCCTGCCTTGCCGGCGGTTCAGATACCGGTTAGGGGCCAGCGTTTACTCCGCACGAGGTTTGGTGTTTGGCAAGCGGTGGGGATTTGTCAGCAGGTTGTTTCGCAGGGCTCAGGAACGGGAGTCCTCTCCTTCCGTGGACGCGGGAAGGGAGGCGGGAGGATGGGATGTGCAGGTGTGTGATTGCCCCTCTTCCCCCCTGGGTTGAGAATTTTTCCTGAGAGTGTGTTGTCTCCTCTGGGGTACTCCACATTTTTTAAATTAATATTTTTAGGAAGAAATTATAAACTTTTTGTACATTCACGCATTGGTTTGTGTCCCACCCATGAAAGCTGCTTTCAGTGGGCATGGCATTTTGGAAATGTGTGGTTTGGAGCATGAAAAGGGTGCAGCCTTTCATACTAATTTTTGGTGATAAACCTTTTTGTTCTGTTAAGTTTATTTTATCTGGAATAGTTCTCTGAGGTCCCTTCCAGTTCATTTTCCCGTGTCTGACATCCATGGCTGGAGAAAATACTTGATTTTGCAGTATCTGTTTGAGTAATCGCAAGGTCATTGCCATACTTCTGTTTAAATATTTTTGAAACCAAGAATTCCCAGTGAAACAGACCAGGGCACTGATGCGATAGAAGCTTCTTAAATGTCGAGGTCAGGATTCAGAGCAACTGTAAGTAAACTAAAGGGGCGCTTACTGTGGCTGTACTGACAGACTGCCAGGTAGAAGTGATGTCCGGAGAGGTACACCGTCAGGCACAGTGGGCCAGAACCTTTCCCTTTTCCTCTACGTCGTGAATATTGATAGCAGAAGTATTTTTCATCGTTTTTATGGAAGGGAGAAAATAATTTTATGATAACATAAGCGAAATGAAATCTCTTGAATTTAAACCATATTCAGTGTTTGCTTTTCCAGCCTAGCTTTAAATGATTTTGGAAGGGGAATCTTTTTGCATGATTCTGCTGATTGCTTTGTGAAATCCCCCCGAGCCCTGCCAGGCGAAGGGGAGCTGAAACAGAAACATTCACAAGAGATTTGTGAACCCAGTGAAACTGTAAATGACCTGTTGTGGGTTTTATTTGTTGCAGGGTGCCAAGGCTTTAGCTCTTTCTTTGATGGCCGATACCTCTATCCTCACGTTAGACCTGAGTGACAACTGGCTGCAGGGAGAAGGGGCAGCTGCAATTGCGGAGATGCTGAAAGAAAACAGCTACGTTTCAGGTTTGTATTCTCCCATCTGCCGTTCTCTGGTAGACGTGTTGCTGCAGAGGAGGAAATCGTGCTGGCTTCTTTGTGGATTTAACCAGTCTTGCTGTCATAGTGACTCTGTGTGTGTGAAAAGGGTACCAGAACTGGGGTGCGGTTTGAATGGTGAGTGTTTAAAACTGTGCTGCTCGTCACCTTTCTCCACCTGTTTTCATAGCATTTACTTTTGTGAAGTTAGGACGCCACTAACTGGAGTCAGCCCAGTGCTGTTATTCCTGTGAAGCTGCTGGAAAGAGCGAGTTTCTGCTTTGATTGTGGATCAGAAACATCCACCTGAAACTTTTCTGTTCAGAGGATGTGGTTAATAATGGTTAAGGCTTTGTAAGTTGAATTTGCATGATTGGCATCTAAGAAAACGGAGCTTCTAGGTAGGGACAGGTGGAAGAGAAGCCCATCTAGAGTGAATCTAGAAGCCTCTGTTCTAGCAGCAGCATGTCTGCTCTTCCCGGGGACATCTCGCGTGTCTAATACCTCTGTAATATTAGACTACAGATACTACAGATACAGGGAGCAGAAGCAGAGCAGCGCTTCCTGAATTTAAGTCTCAGTCAGGCAGTGTTGTGTCTAGAGATCATGGTTTTAGTCCCTGCTTTTCCAGGGTCGATATTCCTGCCTTTCATAATTTACGTAGCAACTCCCAGTTATGCATGGACAGGTTATCTGGGTTGTAGGTGACACGTGGCAGGGTCTTGCGCTGGCTCCGCAGAGCTGAGGTGCAGTGAAGGCAGTCCAGTGGGATACAGCTGGTTGTGCCAGCACGTACCCAGAAGCACTAACAAGCCCTGCCAAACCTGAGGTTGTTACGTGCAGAGACAGTCTAGGAGTCTTGTGCTGTGCTTCTATGTGAAGAGCGCAGAGCAGAGACCCAGGATGGGTCTGCGTGCAGCCCCTGTCATGTGTCTGTGTCACTTTTTCTGGCACTTGCATTAACCTCCTGTTTCAGTGTCTGAATCTGCAGGCCCCCGCTATGGTACAGGCAGAACTTCGCTGTAAGTCATGCTGGTTGCTGCGCTGAAGGATGTACTTTATTCACAAAGAACAAGGTCAGTTTAGACAGCTGCGAACACAACTCTTGTATAACTAAGGCAACCCTAATCTGCTTTGTCAGGAGGTCATCACGGATGAAGGGGACAGGTTCTGTGCTGTGAGACCCCGTTAACGTGGGATTTCCTTATTTTTGTTTTCTAGTGGTTGGATTCAGTATTAGAGGTTTAGGGTTCTGTTACTTCTGTGCTAGGAAGATTCATTCTGTATGTAGGTGGGCAGAGAAGTTCATGCTTTCATATTTGGGTCTCGGTGTCTGTCTTCCCATCCATTCGTGTTGTTACATTTAGCTTTGCTGTCTCTCCCAGCCTACGCTCTTCTTTTCAAGCCGTGACGAGGAACCAAGAAACCCGCTGTAACTTTGCTGAGCGTAGGTTGTGCCTGGAGTGGGAAGACAGATGTACAAGGAGCACTTTTGTCTCATGTCTCATATTCATGTGGCAAAACTTAAATGAGCCTGTCTTAGGGACAGGCTGTGAATTCAAAAGTGAAGTTCTGTTGTTCCTACTAAAATAGTGTTAGACAAGGTTCAGCATTCTTATTTTCCAAGTCTGGCACTGCTTCTGCCATTGCAGCATAGAGGTCAGGCGCCTCTCTGGCATCTGATATGATATGATTTGATGATCTGATAATGTTTTTTTGTTTCCCCAGCTGTTGATTTATCTGACAACAAATTAGGCGTTGAAGGAGCTAAGGCCTTTTCCACTATGCTTCTAGAAAATACTACAATTGCGTCCCTCCAGCTCTCAGGAAATGAATTTGATGATCATGCAGCGAAGTATTTAGCGGCTGCCATCACAGCAAACAGCAAGGTGGAACTTCTGGATCTGAGTTACAACATGTTTGGTGACAAAGCAGGTAAGTGCTGTCTGTGCAGCTTGCACAGAGTGTGCTGCTGTGGCAGTTAGCAACGCAGCTTAATGAGTTGCTTGCCTCAGACCTTCGGGGAGCAGGGTTGGTTAATATTTTCACTTTCCTGAAAAGTATTTTTGGCTCTTTGTAGGCAAAACCAGTGCAAGCTATCATCATTTGTTCATTCTCTGCCTTTTCTTACAGCATTGCAAGCTTTAATGCTTCTGTTTCTTTCCTCGTTGTTCCTAGTTCCCAAGTTCCCAGTCTTCCTTTCACTGAACTATCATTTGCTTTTTTTCTCAGTCATTATTTCAGCTTTCACGGGTGTGTAAAATGCTTAATAAGAGCAGAAAAAAACCAGCAGAACAGAGTTTGCCAACAGTCCTTCTGTCTAGCTCCCCGTCACCGAGAGGTGATTGCAGGTGCCAAGGGGAGGGTGTGAGAGTGGAACAAGCAGGCGGTTGCGCTTCCCTGATACCCTGCCACCCTTGACAGCTTGTGGTTTGGGGACTTCCTTTGCTAGTGACTTTGGCTATTTCTTTTCGTGTTGGTCTCGACCTTGTTAATGCATATTGCTCTTTTTCTTTGGTTTCTGATTTTTAAGCACGCTGTTATTTAATCGTTACATCCTTGCATTCACAGCGCTCCTGTGATGCTGTGTGATGTGATGAAACCCAGTTATTGGTCTCTGGGCCTTAGTCTGTACTGGTTTCACCAGGCTCACTTGTGCTGGGCTGAACTCCCCCACCCTTTCTTCCTGACTGTCCACATCTGTAGAACACTCCTCATGATGTCATTGCTAATCCCCGACTTTTCAACCTTTATGCTCATCTCCTTTTTGCACCTTACTGGCACATGCTTCATCTTCTCCATCTATGGCTGTCCGTGGGCAACCCCAGGCATGTGTTCTGCTACTATCTCCAGGATGAAGATTCACAAATCTTCTCCCTACTCCTGGTCTCACCCTACAACTGCACTCCAAATCCTTCTACTTCCAACACTGTCTGTGATGGGTACACACTCAAAAAGGGAGATACTGAATTTTTTCTCTCCCATGCCACATCCCATGCTGTCTGTCAGGTCCACATTCTTCCCGGGTTGTGTCTTTCATGAAAAATTCACCATCTTCTCTCTATCCACTGCTTTACAACCCTTAATCATCACACATCTCACTGGCTACAGCCTCCTCCTTGAAGATCCTCCATGTCTTCAGTGGGCTTCTCCGGCTCACAAGAGAGGAAACAACCATAATCCTCATTTCTTCTGGCCACCAGGAACACACCAGCCATTCACTTGGTTCCTTCCCAGTTCCGTTCCGCTTTTTTCCTCATTTTTCCTTTTGAAGGCTGCAATGGCTGCTTTTCTCTCCACCCCTATCCTGCTCACCTCCTGCTGCCTTTACAGTCAAACAGCTTTCCCCAGTCTTCTGGTCTTCAAGCATGGCAATGGCTTCCTTTTCTTCTGTGCTGGTTGACAACCTCGTTTCTTTCCTGGCCCATTGGAAACTCACAGAACACTTGCTGATGAAACCTATTCAGATTTTATAATGGCACAGGAGCTCTGGGAGGGGTTAAAGAGGGAGCAGAGCTGGCTTCTCTGCCAGCAGGGCAGACCAGCAGGCTTCAGTTGGCTGGAGGCCAGAGCTGGGGAAGGGTGAGAGACTGTGGGAAGCTACCTGGTGCGTGGTGTCAGCTTTCAGACCCTCCTCAGGCTGGAGAACCAGCCGGTGCAGTCAGATCTCCACGCATGAGCGGCGGACCCTGGCTTTGTGATACGGTGATTGCATTGTCTCTCCCTCTTTGCTACATTTGCAACCTGTAGTCAGGGGGCACATATGCTTTATTGTCCAGCAGCTTCTGCTTTGTGTTTACGGTAAACGAAGTATAAAAGAAAATAATATGTTGTGGTTTTAATTGCCTGTCTAGAGGTAATACAGGCAGTTGCAGAGAAATACCTAAACTAACCTGAGCTTCCTTTTAACTCTCAAACTTAATTCTTTTAACTCTTAAACTGTTTGGCTTCATGTGTTTTTTCTTAGGTGAAATTCTTGGAATGGCAATAGCAGAAAACACTGGATTAAAGGAACTTAAAATCAGCTGGAACCATTTCCATAGCCAAGGGGCAGCTGCCTTGGCCAAAGGCTTGGGGGTAGGAAATGTTTTCACTCCTGTTTCTAAATTCTGAGAACTCACATGAAGCTTTATCTGTTTAAACAAGCGTGAATGCCATGATGTGCTGTTTGCCTTGTGCCCTTGCCTGTCCAACAGCCATCTACGATCTGAGATCATACAGACCTTGGAACTGAGCGAGTAAAATCATCCATTGTCTATTGACATATTGCATATGTTTTCATTGCTCTATTTCTAGTTCTTTCCTTTTTAGAGTCAAAGCTACTATAATGAATGTTTTGAATTGTTTCATTTCACTTCTGATTCATAAATCAATACAGAAATTTTCTTGTAGTCTATTTACAGTTTTTACTCTACTAAAAGAAAGTAGCCTCTCATTAAAATAAGAAACAGTTCTTCCAGCCTCTTAGGCTGAAAGGGGCCACCAAAGTAATTTTATTTCACCTCTTGTATAATGCCAATCACATGTGCCGTCCTAGCGGAGCAAGGCCCCAGCTGCTTTTTGGACAGTAGAAGGGGTGGTAGTGCACAGGCAGGATGTTTCTCCAAGGTTGAATCAAGTGACAGGGAGATTTTCAGTTGTGCGTTTATGTCACACCACAGGCAAACATATTTCTCAAAGTGCTGGATGTTTCCTACAATGGCTTTGGCAACAGTGGAGCAGCTGCCTTGGGGGAGGCTCTTAAAGCCAACAACGTGCTGGAAGAGCTCAACGTTAGGTGAGTCAGGCTGGTCCTGCTGCACATTTTCTCCCATTTTGCAGCGGTGGGCAAAGCCCGCAGCAGCCATTTGGATCTCCTACCTGCAGAGTGCGGTAGGTGCGTAAGGCAGAGGGAGCGTTACAAAATACTAGTGCTGCTGGTCTCATCCCAAACCCCAATTCCTCTCCTTAAACTTGGGGTCACTTCCGAGGGGCTGTGGAACGCGTTACGGGGTGTGGGGGAAGAGCATCTGGGGATTGCACAAGGCCTGTTGGGGGATGTTTAGGAGAGGAACCAAGGGTGAAGGAAGGAAACCAGGTGGTCTGGGGAGGTACAAGCATGGGAAAAGAGAGGGACAAGGTGTGAATGTTGAGTGTTTCTGTGTTGGTCTATGTGGCTGCCCGTGCGCATATCTTGCATTCATTTGTGTCTGTGCCTATTGGAAATCCACGGTCAGCCTTACTGCTGGGGGCATGGAGCCGTGTCAGCCTTGCCTCCATCAGCCTGTGGGATTTGGCAACTCCTCACCGCTTCCAACCTCCCAAGTACAATTGTTTAGTTGGAAGGAGCTGCCCTAAATTCCCTCTGGATATAACATGTTTTCAGTGCTGCGTGAAGCAGTAGGTTGCATATACTTTGCCTGAGCAATGTGGATATGGACAACCTGCAGCTCAGCATGTGAAGCATGCCTTTTATTTGTTTTTAGCAACAACCGTATTTCGGTGGAAGGAGCTCTGCACATTGCAGCTGGCCTGAAAGAAAACAGGACTCTGAAAAGACTTAACGTGAGTAACTTCCCTAGGAAGGTATTGGAGCCTCTTACACATATTTAAATATCACTGGTGCATGTATGTCCTGGATTGGAAACCCTTAGAACAAATCCACAGCAAAATCAGGGAGCTGCTTGCCCCAGCCTGTCTCCTCCCATGCTTCCCTGGTTGCAATATGCTCTCATTAAGACAGTCAAACAGCTTTCCCCAGTCTTCTGGTCGGTGAAGAGAGATTTCTGTGAGCCTGCCACTGTGTGAACTGCAGCCTGTCCTGCCGTGTCTTGCAGCATGGATAGCATCCTATTTCTGCGGCAGTAGTGTCCAGCTTGACGTGGCGGGTGGCACTGGGATGGCCGCTTTGAGGGCCCTTGGCCCACTGTTACTGGCACTTGAAGTAAACCCTGCTGGTATCTCACCCCCTGGGGGCCACTGGTACCGTCAAGGATAGTACAAAAAAATCCATGTCACATATCCTCCTGCTGTTTCTTTTCTGACTGCAGATGACCAGAAATCCCATGCAGAGTGAAGGCTGCTGTGGGGTCCTCAAAGCTCTACAAGCAAATTCTGGCACTGGGATAGAGATCCTGGACTTGCCAGTAAGTGTTACACCAGAAGGAAGAGGGAAGGGAGGGAAGAGGTTGAATGCGTGGTGTATGAATAACAAAGGGCTGCCAGAGGGATTCTGGCTCTGGCGTTGTTGCTGCCCAGTGAGGACTGTGTATGGAGGGAACGGCCCCCGACTTAAAAACATGGACTTGTCTGTACGTGCCCAGGCCCCACTTTGTGGGTTTGCAGCAGCACCAAGGTGCATGAACGCACCGAGCTGGGCATTGCTCAGGCTTTGGGCAGCAGCAGGGTGTGGAGGAGGCACGGCTCAGCTCTCACTGCAAAGGTGCTGAGCACTGGGAAGAATCTGGCCACCTGTGAATTCAGAAATTCCCCGGGAAGCTTGAGCTCTCTGCTGTGACGATCCACATAGTTTCGGAAAGATTTCTGTCCCATTTCTAGTGAAGCTAAATGGCCCTTACAAGGCATGAGAACTTCCACTTCAACATCTACCCCATTTGTGAACAGTGCCAGATCTGAGAAGGCAGCCCTCTGTCACCAGGTAGGTCTCAGCACAAGGCATCTCATACGCACTACCAAAGAGCATCACTTCTGGAACAGAGGCTCTGTCTCAGGCCAGTAGCCACCTAATGCCCTTTGGATCAATTAACTAGCAACTACTTTTAATTTCTAAAAAGAGGAGACAGTTACTCAGTTGTTTATTGAGGAGGGGTTTGTTTTGCCTAGCTCATATACAATGTCGGTGACTATGTCTGAGGTGATTACAAAGATCTGTTCATAGAAGATGGAGGTTTAATCAATGGTATTTAAGGCAAAATTAACACACCAAAGCGTAGAAGTCTGCTTTAGGATGGGGAGACTTGCACTTCAGCTCTGTATTGACTGTATCACCGTGGACTACATAGGGAGACTGTGATGGTGAGCTCAGAGGAAACAGTTGCCTTGCAGTCACCAGCATTTAATCAGGTGAATCTTTTTCTTTGTGACCCTTTGCTACGAACAATCCAGACATCTGCCTTAAAGAGAGAGCTCATGATCCCTGAAATGTTGAGCCGCCTTCTGTCGTTCAGTGCCTGTCCCTTGTTCCTCCTCCTTTCCGGCTGTTATAACTTCTTTTCCTGGTGGCCATTCTTCTGGGCTTACTGTCCATCCTGGCATTGTCCTGACTTTCTCTCCAGGTCTGTCTTTATTTGTTTGCTTGTTTTTGACAGGGAGTTTTCCACCTTTATCCGCTTTAGCTCACTGTCTTTTGGCAGTGCAGTGAGGAGCTTGCATGAAAACCCCTATCTTCCTTTGATTTTTGTACTGCTTCACCATCACTTTAGCTCTTTTGCTTCTTGCCCTGGGAGCAGGATGCTGCTGCTTGTTGAATCTCATACCTGCCCGTAACATGGTGGTGTTGGCTAACGGCCCTGGATCTCACAATCTTGTGTTAGAATTTTGTGTTTGGTTTGAGAGAGCACAGAATATGTTGCAGTTACTATTTTCTGAGGGATGGTAAATCATACCATATGCTTACTTACCTGTAGTGATTTTGCCCTCTAGGACATCCCTGTGAACAAAGAGCTTGCAGAGCTGTGTGATGCTGTGAAAATACTTTTCCCGAATCTTCTTCTCAGACGTGGTGGAAACATGAAGTTGCAGAGGAAAAGTCAGTCGAAGGTTGAGCTTCAGACTCAGCCCAAAGTGGTGGGTAATTCCCAGAACGCAGTGGCTTAACGTGCGCCTCTTTGGACTGCTTCTTCAGCACCTCTGCCTAACACCCCAGTACCACTCACCAAGCCCGTGACACAAGGATGTGCCAGGGCAGTGCTAAGGCAGGGTCTGTGCAAATACTGGCTACTTCATCATTGCTGACGCTTGGAAGTTTTTCTGCCTTTTCACTTTAAGATTTCTGCTACGGCCAGCTCTGAGTCTCTTCCAGCACATGCAAGAGCATCCCCATGGATGAGAGTCCAGGGGCTCCTTTTCAATCATCATCTTCATGTGTATGGACATTTGTCTGGTGGAACATCATGTGCCGTAGCTGCTGCTGGTGCTTGGATCCATAGCCCGCTGCAGTGGGGTCTGTACAGCCCGAGAGTGCGCTTATTATGTTGGAAGCAAAGTCCTATCCAGAGATGTGCTGTGAGCAAATGCTTTCTGCCTTAGGCTTGTTCTCCTGTTACACAGCCAGGAGCGCCTTTGCTGAATTGGCTGTCAGATGCACTGCTGACTCATTTTCGGCTGCTTCCTACTACAGCTCCTTAGCCTCACATGGAGCTCATGCTCTCCAGGGCAGAGCCCCCATCCTCAGTCATGACTGGCGTTCTTATTTCCTGGATGTATGCTCTTGCTTTTGTCGGTGTTGCATAGGATGGATGCTACAAGCTGCCTGGAAATAGGATAGGCACTCAGTGGTAGTTCAGCAATGACAACAGCACATGGGGTGTAACTCTTTTCCCCTCCCTGGGATGTTCTCTGTGATGCCAGTGGATCCTCTCTATGCTCTCTGGGACACCTGGGCACTGTGGTTCAGGGAGGGGGGGAACTGTGAGCTCCTTGAGGAGCACTGGGCTGGGGGCAGGAATCATGGCTATGCTCTGAGCATCCTGGCTTAACTCTCCCTCTCCTGTTCTCTGTGAAGAAGTGGTTTCTTGCAGCAGATTGTTGCAGTTTGGGAGAGGGGCCGAGGATGGTCACACAAACAGCTCTGGATATCTGGCTTGGGCTGGAGGCGCAGGCAGCTCTGCCCCACAGTCAGAGGGCAGCAAACCCCAGCGGTCTTGCAGTGCTGCCTTAGCCTAGTTGTGGCTACACACAAATAATTGCCTTTCATTCCCTGAAGGTTGCCGGACCTCGTTGATAAAGTGCTTGCAACAGTCTTGGCTTTATCCGTGGCTCCAGCTAGGCAAGCCTGGTCAGTCCCCAGGCCCGTCAGTGTGCGCTGGCTTTGATTTCCCCCTTCAATGACACACCAGCTGATAAGGTCTGGGGACATCCAGGCAGTGCTTTCCTGTAAGGCAGTGGTGACACCCCTCTGAGAAGGCAGCTTGCGAAGGCAGGGCCAAAACTGAAGAAGATGGCTTCTGCCAGTCTCCTTCCAGAGTAGCTGGCTGATGCCCTGTGTTTTGCCTTATGCTTTTTTCCCTAGAACAGAAGCATTATAATCCCCTTGCTCACTTTTGTATTTCATTTACCTAATAAATATGCCTACCAGTGAAATTGCAATTAGTGTTAGTTCTCAGCAGAAGATGAGGTTTAGCCTCTTTATTTGAAAATAACTCTATGCAGTTATGATTTACCTAATGGAGTCTGTCCTATAAATGTGCAAGTTATTTATGTATCTAATAAATAATGTCTGTGCCGTGGACTCACACCTGTCCACACCACTCGGAGAGGTCTCTTGCATGTTGTACAGTCTGTAAATATGGGTTGTTTCTAGAAATTTCAGAACCATCCTGACACCCCCTCGATCTCTAGATGAAAAATTTGTGTATTGAATACAGAAGCTGTTACGGGGCTTGATTTAAATCAGTATAAGTACTTATATTTTAAAATACTTAGTCACCATTTATTATTTCTGTTACATCCTTTGCCCCTAGCCCTTCCTATGATCTCCAAAGAAGAGGTGCAAGTTAAAATTGTATTAAAAACAAGGTGGGTAAAGAATTCTTACACACCAAGGCTGTCCTTATTCACCAGCTGGTGTAACTAGAGAAGATCTACTTGCCACTGCCTTGACCCATATAGATTCATTAGTCACTGGAGTCAGAGCTGGGTGTTTTTTTCTTGTGAGAATTAAGCTCAATAAATCTATCAACGTACCATTTGGGAACCTAAAAATGCCAGGTGAGCCAGCAGTGTGTTACGGGGTAACGTAGCTGGGATATAGATGTTGAACGTTCAGTTGTCCTGCGGCTTTGATGAGAGCAGGAGGTGGCTGTGGAAAACTGAGCACTGGCCTGCTCCGTGTGCAGGCAGGATTGTGCAGGCAGGATTTGCCCTCCCGGAGGGCTGCAGGGAGAAGGGGGAACAGGCAGCCGCAGCTAGCCTGCAGGAGGTTTGGCGTGCGAAGTTGTAGGAATTTGCTGTGCTTTGGCAGCTGCTACAAAAGGTTATGAGGAATCAACACGTGGAGAGTTATACTGAGAGCCGTATTCCAGTTTTACTGAAATATTAGTTATTTCAGTATTTACCTGGCAGTATCCCCAGCTGGTATCGCTATTCCTCTTTCCTCCAAACTCAGTTGTGTTTTCTTTCAGGTTAGGAACTAATCTTGGAATAACTCAGCAGAAGATTTGCTGAGTCCCTGTTCACAATGTCATTTCCAGCACTGAGCCATTTTTTTTGGTCTGAGTGTTATTTCAATATTGTTCCTTTTTGGTTTCTTTACAAAACTGCCAGGTAGCAGTTGGATGCCTTGTGGAAGGTACTATAGTATAACTGCACTGTTGCTTCTTTCCAAGCTCCTGACCCCACCAAAGCACAGAGGTTACACAAATCCATATTAATTGCCACTAATGGAATTTTTTCCTTAATCCTTGAGCAGCTCTCATTTTGATCAGTGTCCTTCTGAGGCCTTGAATTTCCTTGCACCCCTTCACCTTTTTGAAAGATCAGCCAGCTTGTTTTTCTGCAGCGCTCTGGGACTTCTCCAGCTGCCTGATTGTTCCTGGAAAATGAGCATTAATGCTCCAGGGAAGCTCGCTGCCTAATTCCACATGAAACTCTTCTGGCGTAAGTTACATAGGTGACCACAAAAGGTTTAGCGATAGTAGCTACTAATAAGCATTATTTGGAGGCAGGTCTGGGGCAGAGAAGTCTGCAAGGTGACTCCTAGCTTTCCCCCCCATGCAGAAGAGAAGTTTTTCATGAACACTTTCATCTCCTTTACAATATTGAGTGTGCTGCCTTGGCACACAAAGGTGCCTTGGCTCTTGTCCCAGCAAGGATCCCAGCCCACGGTGTTCGGTGCTGCCCTAAAGTGCTTCGTCTAGCGAGGGAAGCCCGGACAGGTGGGATTGGTGAATGGAGTTCAATCCAGTTGGCGGCCGGTCACGAGCGGTGTTCCCCAGGGCTCAGTTTTGGGGCCAGTTCTGTTTAATATCTTTATCAATGGTCTGGATGAGGGGATTGAGTGCACCCTCAGTCAGTTTGCAGACGACACCAAGTTGGGCGGCAGTGTTGATCTGCTCGAGGGTAGGAAGGCTCTGCAGAGGGACCTGGACAGGCTGGATCGATGGGCCAAGGCCAACTGTATGAGATTCAACAAGGCCAAGTGCCGGGTCCTGCACTTCGGCCACAACAACCCCATGCAGCGCTACAGGCTTGGGGAAGAGTGGCTGGAAAGCTGCCTGGCGGAAAAGGACCTGGGGGTGCTGGTCGACAGCCGGCTGAACATGAGCCGGC